ATTATGTTTTGTGATTCTCTTTTGTTATATGTATGGGGTTTCTTGCCTACAATAATGTGTTTTTTTGTTTTTTTTTTTATCCCCTTTTCTGTATCCTTATTCTTTGATTTTTGTTTTAAGTTCCTGTTATTATTTGTCATTTGCTTGTTCTGTTATTGTTTGTTTCATAAATGCAAAATAAACACCTTTAAAAAAAAAAAAAAAAAGAAACAGAATCGAGTAAGCTTGAATGCTTATCAGCCATTCAAGATTATCCTTTTATTTATATCAATGAATAAAGGGCTTCCTCTGGCTAAGATGGAAAGGAGGGCGGTTGTCAGCACAATCTCCACCTCAGCCAATCAGGGAAAGCCTTGTATTCATTGAGAAAAATACAAGGCTTCTCCTGAATGGCTAAGAAGCATTCAAGCTGACTCGATTTTGTTCTGGCAACAGAGGGAAAGATACCTGCATACTTAATGTAGCTGATGCTACTACAGTATGATACAGAGCACACAGTGGCCGAATCACTTAATAGTAATGTAAATAGTTAATTTGGGCCAACTTGGACCAAACAAATGATTTAAAGTGAAAAGAAAACTGGAAATCAGCTTTCAATGGTTATATAACTGTTGAAAGCCTTATTGTCACCAGGGGTGGCTGTGGGGTGGTGGGGGGTGTGGGGGGGGTTGTTTGCTTGGGAATGGAGGGGTGGACTGCACTTGGGGGTATGCATTTGGATGTGATATGTAATATATTTTACTATATATTTTTCTTTACGTTCAAAATAAATCCTAACAACATTAGCTTATGAAACATGGCCCTGTCCCAAATTTGTGTGAATTGGGGTTGTACTTTGCAAGCTTTTTGTTGCCTTGTCCCAAATTTTTGAGACATATTGCTGTCATGCTTTTCAAAATGACCTTATTGTTTTTCTTAAATTGGTACATTTTCTCAGTTTAAACATTTTATATGTTTTCCATTGTAGATACAATATGGGTTTGAGAACCATTGCATTGGTTTTATGTAGGTTTTAAACAGTGTCCCAACTTTTTCGGAATTTGGTACAGCACTGTTCTTTAAAGCATGCATGATACCATAATTGCTACCTTTTACAGCAGCAATCCAGACTTAAGTCAAACATCATTAAAATTACCTTGTTGGATATGGCACATGTCAGGAAAGGGTTTCTTTTCCCCTAGAGTTCTGTTTCTAATCCAACACCCATACATGCCCCCCTTTCTTCTTCTCTTGTCCTGTGTGATTGATGCTTTATTTTGCAAAGTATGATATGTTCAGAGAACACTGGTGTGGTCAGATATAAACCTGTACTTTCTCAAAAATGCATAAACACGAACACATACCTTCTCAGATAAAATGGAAAATTGTTTACTTATCTTTCTAAGTTTCATTCCCAAATGCCTGTCCATTGTAGAATACCTATGACTGGTGCTCTCTACCACCATTTAATCCAAACACTCATTTTAGCTCCAATAAAGTATAACTTGTACTTGTTAGAGACTTGGGACAGTTAGAGACTACAAGTGAAACTCGAAAAATTAGAATATCGTGCAAAAGTTCATTTATTTCCGTAATGCAGCTTAAAAGGTTAAACTAATATATGAGATAGACTCCTTACATGCAAAGCAAGATAGTTCAAGCTGTGATTTGTCATAAGTGTGATGATTATGGCTTACAGCTCATGAAAACCCCAAATCCACAATCTCAGAAAATTTGAATATTACATGCAATCAATAAAACAAGGATTGTACATAGAACAATATCGGATCTCTGAAAAGTATAAGCATGCATATGTACTCAGTACTTGGTTTGGGCCCCTTTTGCAGCAATTACTGCTTCAATACGGTGTAGCATGGAAGCTATCAGCCTGTGACACTGTTGAGGTGTTATGGAAGACCAGGATGCTTCAATAGCGGCCTTCAGCTCTTCTGCATTGTTTGGTCTCATGTCTCTCATCTTTCTCTTGGCAATGCCCCATAGATTCTCTATGGGGTTCAGGTCAGGCAAGTTTTCTGGCCAATCAAGCACAGTAATCCCACAGTCATTGAACCAGGTTTTGGTGCTTTTGGCAGTGTGGGCAGGTGCCAAGTCCTGCTGGAAAATGAAGTCAGCATCCCCATAAAGCTCGTCTGCGGAAGGAAGCATGAAGTGCTCCAAAATCTCCTGGATTTAATGAAGCACAGTGGACCAACACCAGAAGATGATATGGCTCCCAAATCAACACAGACGGTGGAAACTTCACACTGGACTTCAAGCATCCCGCAGTGTGTGCCTCTCCATTCTTCCGCCATACTCTGGGTCCTTGGTTTCCAAATGAGATGCAAAAGTTGCTCTCATCAGAAAAGAGGACTTTGTTTTTCTTTAGCCCAGGTAAGACACTTCTGACGTTGTTTGTTGTTCAGGAGCGGTTTGACAAGAGGAATACGACATTTGAATCCCATGTCCAGGATCCGTCTGTGTGTGGTGGCTCTTGATGCACTGGCTCCAGCCTCAGTCCACTCCTTGTGAAAGTCCCCAACACTTTTGAATGGCCTTTTCCTGAGAATCCTCTCCAGGCTACGGTCATCCCTGCTGCTTGTGCACCTTTTTTCTTCCACACTTTTCCCTTCCACATAACTTTCTATTAATGTGCTTTAATACAGCACTTTGGGCACATCCAACTTCTTTTGCAATTACCTTTTGAGGCTTTCCCTCCCTATGGAGGGTGTCAATGATGGTTTTCTGCACAACTGTCAGGTCAGCAGTCTTTCCCATGATTGTGATTCCTACTGAACCAGACTGAGAGACCACTTAAAGCCTCAGGAATCCTTTGCAGGTGTTATGGCTTAATTAGCTGATTAGAGTGGGACACTTTGAGCCTAGAATATTGCACCTTTTCACAATATTCTAATTTTCTGAGATTGTGGATTTGGGGTTTTCATGAGCTGTAAGCCATAATCATCATCACAATTATGACAAATCACGGCTTGAACTATCTTGCTTTGCATGTAATGAGTCTATCTCATATATTAGTTTCACCTTTTAAGTTGCATTACTGAAATAAATGAACTTTTGCACGATATTCTAATTTTTTGAGTTTCACCTGTATGTCATGAGGGAACCTATGCTACCAAGGATATATACTAGTAAAGGGAAATTATGGAAAGGTAAGCATTTCATTTTCTGTTTTTTTTTTTTCTGGTGCCTACATGGCAGTGCACATTAGGTAACTAGCTCACAAGGAAAAGGTTAATAAAGCACAAAGGGCTGCAAAGTATTTTGCCAAAATCCCAAGAGGTGTAACTGTCAGAAGCCACAGTGTAATGAAACATGAAGGTGGAGAAAAGAAGACCAGCTGGCTGCAAGATAAGTGGTATCAGGAGTTACCCCTGGGAATGCTGCCCAGGAAGATGACATACTCCTAGTGGAAAAAGCTGTCACCACTCAGGGAACTGTGTTGCCCCAGCGAGATGAGCCTTCTAAATTACCCGAGCAATCCAACTTGTGGTGGTTCTGGATAAATTCACCTGCCCTTTTCTTGCCCCAACACCCAACAGGTATGATGAATAATCAATTGCCCTTCTAGATGGACTGTGTAAGAGAGACTCTCCACCTTTCTGGATGCATCCAAGTTTTGATGCTTAGAGTTATCTTGAACATCCGGGACAACTGATAGTACCAGTTCTTGACTGCATTGGAATACTGATGGAACATTAGGGATAACCTCATGGACTGGTCGTAAGACCACACCCTTAGGGAAGAACATGATTGGCTATCGAGTGCCTGTATTTTTTAAACCCTTTGATTTGAAGCAATGGTCAGTAGGAAAGCTGACTTCTGAGCATTTTTTTTAGGAGCATTTCTATGGAGGTGCAAAAGGAGTGGAGGAAAGAAGTTTGAAAACTAGTGAGTAGTTTACAGTAAAGGTGTTTATAAGGAGGGCTCATTTAACATATTCAGTCCTATTCTCAATCCAAGACAAGCTTCAGAAATTCTTATGTTGTGCACTCCTAGTGACATACCATCATAAGAAGCTTGCTTGGAAAACAAAACATATCTCCCACGCTTTATAGTAAGTTGTATCAGTCAAGTTTTTCGAGCATTGAGAAGAGTGCCCACTGCCTGAGAACAACCTACAGTATCTCACAGAAGTGAGTACACCCCTCACATTTTTGTAAAATATTTTATTATATCTTTTCATGTAAAGTAGTGAGTGTACAGCTTGTATAACTGTGTAAATTTGCTGTCCCCTCAACATAACTCAACACATAGCCATTAGTGTCTAAACCGCTGGCAACAAAAGCTAGTACACCCCTAGGTGAAAATGTCCAACTTAAGCCCAATTAGACATTTTCCCTCCCCGGTGTCATGTGACTCGTTAGTGCAGCCTTTCTCAACCAAGGTGCCCAGGCACTCTGGGGTGCCTTGAGTTTTCTTCTGAGGTGCCTTGGCAAAATGTCTAAAAGTTGCACAAAGCTTGAATACAAGCCAGCGGCTGAAAGAAGCCTGGCTTTTAGTTACACAGGTTTTCATTGTGCGCCATTACAACATTCTAGCCATCGGTGTCCTGAATACCAATGACATCAGTTGATAAGGAGGATGTCGGTTGCCTGTACAGCATCCTTGTATGATCCTCCCCTGCTCCTCTCCGTCAGTGCTGGGGTCACATTAGCTCAGTGTTGAGAGAAACACTGAGCTAATGTAATACTAGTCAGGACCAGTGTGCAAACGTGTATTTGATTTGGAAGAATAAATCACCGCTAGTGTTGGGTGTTCATGTGTGGATGTTGCTTTATATAAAACTATTATAATAGTTTTTTTACATTTTAGAATGGGGTGCCTCAACACTGTCCATAATTTGAAAGGGTACCTTGGTACTGTCCATAATTTTGAAGGGTGCCTCAGGACTGTCCATAATTTTAAAGGGTGCTTCGGGACTGTCCATAATTTGAGGGTGCCTTGAAATTGTCCATAATTTTTTAAAAGGTGCCTTGACTGAAAAAAGGTTGAGAAACACTGTGTTAGTGTTACAAGGTCTCAGGTATGAATGGGGAGTAGGTGTATTAAATTTGGGGTTATCACTCTCTCCTACTGGTCACTGGAAGTTCAACATGGCACCTCACAGCAAAGAACTCTCTGATCTGAAAAAAAGAATTGTTGCTCTACATAAAGATGGCCTAGGCTATAACAAGATTGCCAAGACCCTGAAACTGAGCTGCAGCATGGTGGCCAAGACCATACAGCTGTTTAACAGGACAGGTTCCACTCAGAACAGGCCTCACCATGGTCAACCAAAGAAGTTGCGCGCACATGCTCAGCATCATATCCAGAGGTTGTCTTTGGGAAATAGACTTATGAGTGCTGCCAGCATTGCTGCAGAGGTTGAAGGGGTGGGGGGTGTCAGCCGGTCAGTGCTCAGACCATACGTCGCACACTGCATCAAATTGGTCTGCATGGCTGTCGTCCCAGAAGGAAGCCTCTTCTAAAGATGATGCACAAGAGAGCCCGCAAACAGTTTGCTGGAGACAAGCAGACTAAGGACATGGATTACTGGAACCTAATCCCCTGGTCTGATGACCAGTGAAGCTCTGGTGAACTCCATGCCCAAGAGGGTTAAGGCAGTGCTGGAAAATAATGGTGGCCACACAGAATATTGACACTTTGGGCCCAATTTGGACATTTTCACTTAGGAATGTACTCACTTATGTTGCCAGCGGTTTAGACATTAATTGCTGTGTGTTGAGTAATTTTGAGGGGAAAGCAAATTTACACTGTTATACAAGCTGTACACTCATTACTTTACATTGTAGCAAAGTGTAATTTCTTCAGTGTTGTTACATGAAAAGATATAATAAAATATTTACAAAAATGTGAGGGGTGTACTCACATCTGTGAGATACTGTATGCTTTCCAACTTTTTCCACTCAGCTGTGTAATTATGTAACTTCATTCTTTCAAATTCAGAAGAAGGGATATCTGTTTATTGATCAAAAAATGCATCAGAAATGTGAACCATGGCCTCTGGGCCAATATGTAATTATTGCTAAATGGTCACTGATTCTCCCACAAGGTGCTGTAGGAAGTCTTATAATGAGCAGAGTCCGAGGGTGTGCACACCCCAGCTGAAAATTCCAAGGTTGGGTATGTCCCTGTAGCTTCCTGTAAACCTACCTGATTATGGATGTAGGATACTGTATCAGGATTCTACTGCTGTAGTAAACATAAGTTGTTGGGAAGGATTGGAGAAGGAGGAGCTATGCAAAATATTTTTACATTTTACAATTAATTATTTACAATTTTTTACCTGTTTGTCTTGGTAAATTCTAAAATGATTTTTTAAATTCCAAAGGGGGATGAAATGAGGAGGCTGGGTATTTCACCAATTCCAATGATGGACAGAGATAAAAAAGATGAAATTCCTCAGGGACAGGTGAGTCAAATTACTGTATGCAACACTGCTCTATACAGGAACAATAGTAATCACAAGTGGTTACCCTGTACTATCAACCATATATAGTCTTCAGCATTAAGTGAATTTATGCCAGTAAAAGATGAATTCCGGTTGGTATCTGTGAATTATGCGGAACTCTTTATTAAGGCAATCGGTATAGTTTTTTTTCCTGTCCAGAAGTCATAAGTGTGAAAAAGACTGTCTGATGTTCTTTAAAGATAGAAATTTGAAATAACACCCAAATTATACATGTCTACAGCATTAAAGTACCTGGTAAAAGAACCCATTCAGTTTAAAAAATAAATGCAAGGCAAAACATTTGTGTGTGTATGTGATATATATATATATATATATATATATATATATATATATATATATATATATATATATATATAGTTGCAAGAAAAAGTATGTGAACCCCTTGGGATTACGTGGAGTTTTGCATGAATTGGGCATAAAAATGTGCTCTGAACATCATCTAAGTCACAACAATAGAAGAACACAGTCTGTTGAACATAATACTACACACAAACATTAGATGTTGCCATGGTTTAATTGCACATAACATGTAAACATTCACAGTGCAGGGAGGAAAAAGTATGTGAGGCCCTAGCTTAATGACTTCTCCCAGAGCTAATTGGAGCCAGGAGTGAGCCAACCTTGACTCCAATCAGTGTGATGATATTGGATGTGTTGCTGACAGCTGTCCTGCCCTTAAAAAAACACACACCTGTTTTGGGTTTACTGGTTTCAAGAAGCACTGTCTGATGTGAACCATGCCTCGCAGAAAAGAGCTCTCAGAAGACCAACGATGAAGAATTGTTGACTTGCATGAAGCTGGAAAGGGTTACAAAAGTATCTCCAAAAGCCTTGATGTTCATGTGTCCATGGTAAGACAGACTGTCTACAAATGGAGAAAGTTTAGCACTGTTGCTACTCTCCCTAGGTGTGGTCGTCCTGTAAAAATGACTGCAAGAGCACAGCACAGAATGCTGCATGAGGTAAAGAAGAATCCCAGAGTGTCAGCTAAAGACCTACAGAAATCTCTGGCACATGCTAACATTTTTGTTGACACATCTACAATAAGGAAAACATTAAACAAGAATGGAGTACATGGGAGGACACCACGGAGGAAGCCATTGCTGTCCAAAAAGAATATTGCAGCACGTTTGAAGTTTGCAAAAGAGCACTTGGATGTTCCACAGCACTACTGGCAAAATATACTGTGGACAGATGACACCAAGATTGAGTTGTTTGGGAAGAACACACAACACTATGTGTGGAGAAAAAAAGGCACAGCACACCAACATCAAAACCTCATCCCCACTGTAAAACATGGCGGAGGGAGCATCATGGTTTGGGGCTGCTTTGCTGCCTCAGGGCTTGGACGGATTGTTGTCATTGATGGGAAAATGAATTCCAGAGTTTATCAAGACATTTTGCAGGAAAACGTACGACCATCTGTCCACCAACTGAAGCTCCGCAGAGGATGGGTGATGCAACAGGACAATGACCCAAAGCATACAAGTAATTCAAGAATACGCCTTCTGGAGTGGCCCAGTCAGAGTCCTGTCCTCAACCTGATTGAAATGCTGTGGCATGACCTTAAGAGAGCGATTCACACAAGACATCCCAAGAATATTGCTACACTGAAACAGTTTTGTGAAGAAGAGTGGTCCAAAATGACTCCAGATCGTTGTGCAGGTCTGATCTGCAACTACAGGAAACGTTTGGTTGAGGTTATTGCTGCCAAAGGAGGGTCAACCAGTTATTAAGTCCAAAGGTTCACATACTTTTTCCTCCCTGCACTGTGAATGTTTACATGTTATGTGCAATTAAACCATGGCAACATCTAATGTTTGTGTAGTATTATGTTCAGCAGACTGTGTTCTTCTATTGTTGTGACTTAGATGACGTTCACATTTTATGCCCAATTCATGCAAAACTCCACGTATTCCCAAGGGGTTCACATACTTTTTCTTGCAACTATATATATATATATATATATATATATATAATGTTTTTATTATTTTATTACATTTGAAAAAAATGTCCTGGAATTTAGTCCCAGTGAAGTGCATGCCACCTTGTTGACTTCTCTTTAATTTACAAATTACATTTTTACGGAGTGCCTTCTGGTGAGTGCATGGTGGGGGAGGACCTTGCACAGGAGAAGAGTATTTTTATATGATTCAGCATTGTTGGAAATTGTTTTCACTGGAGAGATTTTATAAGACTGTCACCTGGAAAGACTTTTGTTATATTATTGCACTCGGCACTTTAAAGAGTTGTTTATATGATAACACTGATATGTTTCTATTACGAGGATTGTGTTATATTATCACACTTAGTATTTTAGTATACACTTTCTATGTATTCATAATATTTAATTTAATTTTTTGACTGTGGTTGTCACATATTTCTGTGTATTATTTGTTATATTGTTTATGCACTGCACGGTTTTGATACAATTACAGTTTGGGCTTGTCACTTCCCTTTTAGTGTGAGCAGCTCCAGCTCTCTAGAGCTCACCTCCTATGTTTGATATTTTGAAATAAACAGAAGAAGAAAAAAAGTGACTGTTGTGATTGCGGGGGGGGGGGGGGGGGGAGATTAAACAGAACTAGCTCCCCTTTAGGTATTGAGTTCCACTTTAAATTACATGAACATGATTGAGATTAGTGAAATATGTAAAATAAGTCCCAAAAAAATCACACTATAATTTTAGATCCACTAGTGTCCAACAGTCTAAAACACATTTTCTGGGCTATGGATGAGACTGCCAAGATCATCACACTTTATCCCGATGTACAGCTAATGTCTTTACAACTAGATGGGTTGTAGAAAAATTTTTATTTTAAAGTTTGAATATGACACAAAAACATTTAATGGCTTCTGCTGTTTTCTTCATACCTTTTGCTTCAAGAAGTATTTCACAGCAATTCTGCTTTCTCTGCAATAGTAGCATACAAATATCCACATTGGTACGCAGAATGTATTGCTTGAGCAAATTATAAGTGCTTTGTATTCTATTGGGGGAAAAATTTTTAAATTGAGAACTCTTTTGTTGTCCTAAACAAGACAATATTACTTAAAGTGATTGTAAAGGCAGAAAGTTTTTTTTTTACCTTTAATGCATTCTCTGCATGTGAAACTCCCCCCCCCCCCCCCCCCCCCCCCCCTCCCAGTCCGTCCCTCTTATACTTACCTGAGCCTGATTTCTATCCAGCCTTGTGCATGAAAGCCAAGACTCTCTGTTCTCTTCCTCTTCTTTGGCTCAGATACAGCAGCAGGAGCCATTGGCTTCCGCTGCTGTCAATCACAACCACTGAGGAGGGGGCTGGGCCAAGGACACACAGGTGCTGAAGAGCAAGCACACACGACTTCCCCCACAACAAGTGGCTTTCTATGGGGGAATTCACCACAGGGGAGGAGCCAGGAGTGTTGGTGGGGGACCCTGGAAAAGGATGATCGTGGCTGCTCTATGCAAAACAGAGCAGGTAAGTTTTACATGTTTATTATATTAATGCAAAAAAATTATAAGCTTTACAATCACTTTAAGGTGCCAATTGAAAAGAGAGGCACTGAGAAAAAAATAGAGGTTGCCATTACTGAAATTTTTCTTTACTGGAAGATACTAGTTTAAATTTTACTAGCCTTATACCACACCAGTTGTATGCAGGGGCATATGTACCACAAGGCAAACAAGGCAATTGCCTGGGGTGAGATTTTTTAGGGGGGCATGAGTGGAGATGGGCAGGGGTGTTGGTCACTGTCAGGCTCTCTCGGTGGGAGGGGAAGGGGGGTCTGGTGTTTGTTGGTGTCAGACTCTCTCGGTGGGGGGGGGGGGGGGTCTGGTGTTGGTCGGTGTCATACTCTCTCTGCTGAAGGGGGGGGGGGGGGCGTGTGATTTTATGTTGCCTAGGGAGAGAGAATAGAAACCGTTTGATTCAGATGACAGTCAGACATCTAGATTTTGTAAGGAATTAACAGCCTGCATA